TTGGATATATAGGTCATATAGACTTGTTGCACAGTTTACCCAACCTGGTCTTCAGAGAGAGAATGAATAATGGAGAGAAGAGGAAGGATGGTAGAGAGAAGAGGAAGGATGATAGAGAGAAGAGGAAGGATGATAGAGAGAAGAGGAAGGATGGTAGAGAGAAGAGGAAGGATAGAGAGAAGAGAAGGATGAGGAGAGAAGAGGAAGGATGATAGAGAGAAGAGGAAGGATAGAGAGAAGAGGAAGGATGATAGAGAAGAGGAAGGATGGTAGAGAGAAGAGGAAGGATGATAGAGAAGAGGAAGGATGGTAGAGAGAAGAGGAAGGATGGTAGAGAGAAGAGGAAGGATGGTAGAGAGAAGAGGAAGGATGATAGAGAGAAGAGGAAGGATGGTAGAGAGAAGAGGAAGGATGATAGAGAAGAGGAAGGATGGTAGAGAGAAGAGGAAGGATGATAGAGAGAAGAGGAAGGATGGTAGAGAGAAGAGGAAGGATGGTAGAGAGAAGAGGAAGGATGATGGAGAAGAAAGGAGGAAGGATATAGAGAGAAGAGAAGGATTAAGAGGAAGGATGATGGAGAGGAAGAGGAAGGATGAGAGGAGAAGAGGGATGATGAGGAGGAAGATAATGATAGAGAAGAGAAGGATGATAGAGAGAAGAGGAAGGATGGTAGAGAGAAGAGGAAGGATGGTAGAGAGAAGAGGAAGGATGATAGAGAAGAGGAAGGATGGTAGAGAGAAGAGGAAGGATGATGAGGAGGAAGAGGAAGGATTAGGAGAGAAGAGGATGATGGAGAGAAGAGGAAGGATGATAGAGAGAAGAGGAAGGATGGGAGAGAGAAGAGAGGAAGGTGAATGAGAGAAAGGAAGGAGGATGGTAGAGAGAAAGGAAGGATGGTAGAAGAGGATAGAGAGAAGAGGAAGGATGGGTAGAGAGGAAGGATGGTGAGAAGGAAGGATGGTAGAGAAAGAGGAAGGATGGTAAGAAGAGGAAAGGATGATGAAAGAGGAAGGATGTGAGAGAGAAGAAAGGATGATGAGAAGAAGGAGGATGGTAGAGAAGAGGAAGGATGTGAAGAGGAAGGATGGTAGAGAAAGGGAGGATGATAGAGAAAGAGGAAGGATGGTGAGAAGGAAGGATGATAGAGAAAGAGGAGGAATGATGAGGAAGGATGGATGAAGAAGAGGAAAGAGTAGGAAGAAGGATGTAAGAGAAGAGGAAGGATGATAGAGAAAGAGGAAGGATGGTGAAGAAGGAAGGATGTAGAGAGAAGAAGGATGATAGAGAAGAGGAAGGATGGTAGAAGGATGAGTGAGAAAGAGGAGAGGATGGTAGAGAAAGAGGAAGGATGTGAAGAAAGAGGATGGTAGAGAGGAAGGATGATGAAGAGAAAGGAAGGATGGTAGAGAGAAGGGAAGGATGTGAAGAGAGAGGATGATGGGGGAAAGGGAGGATTGAAGAGAAGGATGGGGGAAGGAGGATGATGGGGAAAGGAGGATGATGAGAAGAGGAGGATGGTAGAGAGAAGAGGAGGATGTTGAGAGGAAGGATGGTAGAGAAGGGAGGATGATGAGAGAGGAAGGGGATGGATGGGGAGAAGAGGAAGGATGGATAGAGAGAGGATGAAGTAGAGAGAAGAGGAAGGATGGTAGAGAAGAAAGGAAGGATGGTAGAGAGAAGAGGAAGGATGGTGAAGAAGAGAAGGGATGAGAGAGAAAGGAGAAGAGAGGAAGGATGGTGAGAGAGGAAGGATGGTAGAGAGAAGAGGAAGGATGGTAGAAGAAGAGGAAGGATGATGAGAGAGAGAGGAAGGATGGTGAGAGAGAGAAGGATGGTGAGAGAAAGGAAGGATGATAGAAGAGGGAAGGATGGTGAAGAAGAGGAAGGGGTGGAGAGAAGAGGAAGGATGGTAGAGAAGGAAGGATGGTGAGAAGGAAGGATGGGTAGAGAGAGAGGGATGATAGAGAGAAGAGGGAGGATGGTGAAGAGGAAGGGATGATGAAAGGAAGGATGGTAGAGAAGAGGGATGGTAGAGAGAGAAGGAAGGATTGATGAGAAGAGGGAAGGATGTGAGAAGGAAGGATAGGAAGGATAGAGAGAAGAGGAAGGATGGTAGAAGAGAGAGGATGATGAAGAGGAAGGATGGTGAGGAGAGGATGGTAGAGAGAGGAAGGTGTGAGAAGGAGGATGATGAGGAGAGAGGAAGGATGGTAGAGGAAGGAGGAAGGATGGTGAGAAGAGGAAGGATGGTAGAGAGAGAGAGGAAGGATGTTGAGAGAGGGAGGATGGTGGAAGGAGGATGGGTAGAGAGGGAGGATGGTAGAAGAGGGAGGGATGGTGGAGAGGGAGGGGAAGGGGGGAAGGATGGTTGAGAGGAAGGATGGTAGAGAGAAGAGGAAGGATGATAAACAAGAAATAATGTTAAGATCACTAACCTTTTTATCAAGGCCAGAAAAAGAAGGATTCAGAATTCCATTGTCATACGCTAAAGTGATGCCATTGAAGAACATTTGTATGTCTGGCCAGTAGGGATCACCATCTTGGAGAACTTTGACCCAAGCATTGGTGAAACTCGCAGCTGCTGTACTTAAAGGCCCTGATACACAGAAAAGCAGAGAATTAAAAACAAGTACATTATATTTTTGTGTATTTTCAAAAGATGACAACTGTCTACTGTATTGGTGTAACTACGTCGAGAATTATTCAGTAGAATTAATGTATGCTGACATTGTGCGTGCGTTTCAATACTTTCATGTCTTTTCCTTAAAATTCGTTGTAAACATAACTGAGGAAATATAATACCCACACTCAATCAATTTTACTGCAGTCATATATGTGTTCTGTCAAGGAGCTCTACCAACCACAAGGCACCAAACATCATCACTCATTCCTGCAAATATCACTTGATACAAGTCTTCCTTATTGATGGACACTGCTGCCACGCTGGTGGGCGTCTCTCCTTCTTCAGCATATCTTTTATCATTCTTCACATTCTCCTCTAACATTTCCATATTTCTACAACTCATTGCCACATTTCTTATTGTCTTCTTTAACCTCACACATTGTTTTAAACAGTTAAATGTTGTTATTCTAATTGTTCCTCCTGTTGCCTTTGGTCAAATCATTTTACAAGTAATAATGTCGATCCAACATCACCTACACCACTTTATATATTCCTCGATGCACTAAATATTATCTTTGCCTCCGCTATTCTGAGCTTCACTTATGACACATCTCCCAGTCTCTCATACTATCTACTGTATATGTTTAACAACACGTTTCCTCTTCCTTCAATTCTTATTATCGCTATGGAGCTGACCCTCGTGTCTGATGCTGCCCGCCGAGGCAACCTGGGCGTGAGTTTGTTGGGCTGGCAGTGACATCCCAACCACTCTGATTAACGAGAAGACAGTTAACATAACTGTACCAAGCCACTATCACAGATATATTAACCTACTTTTGGCATTCTGCCAATGATTAAATTAAACATCATTACTCTTTCTACAAAAAATATTGAGTGCTGCATTACTCCCCCATGGGCAAATGACGTAAAGAATCTTCGTAGTTACACCCAGCCAGGTGGATCGGGCGTGGGACCACCCATTGTGAGCAGTGACGCAATACACTGCACTTTTGTTTACATACGATTTAAATTCTTGCCAGTTCACGTACTTAAGTTAATGACTCGCCATTATAAGTTTTCCTCTAGACAATACACCAGGTGTGTGTCATCACCACTTCTGTGTATACTAACCTTTCGTGGTAGTCTTGTACTGCTGCAGGGAGATGGGGTTGTAAGTCTGGAGCAAGTCGGCTGCAGTTGAGCCTTTGCTGTTCTTCAGCTGAGTCCTAATACCTCAGTGGTCGTGTACGTTCTTTGGCCGACCCTGGAAGGTCTACTACCTTCACCTGTAACACACACACACAGACTGCTGTATACCACACATGGTGGTATACTAGGTTAGGTTAGTGTCATGTATGGTAACACTTTAACTCACTATAGTAAATTATTGTTCACCCAAACACTCACAGTGAAATTCCCTAAATATTAAGTGAACCCAGAATGAGTTAGAGACACAATAAGAATAATGTGTTGGTAGATCATGGTAGTGGCGGGAAGTGAAGAGTTCTTCTCTTATTTCATTATCCTCAGTTGTACTGTATATCTGCCTTCATCATCTCTGAGCTGATCTCATGGGTTAATACCTCCTGCTGTGGACTCAGTTGAGACGTTACTTCTTATACCAGCATCAGCTACAGTGGCACTACCTTGTGTTTGTGGAGGTGATCCTGCACCCCAGACAGCATGAGCAGTTTGGGTGATTCAACAGGACCAGCGGACAGGATCACCTCCTCCTGTCACAAATCAACACCTGCATCACACCACAGGTAAACTTTGCTTATCTTTAATTAACTAAACATCCTACCTCATGACTTTATGAACAATGTGAACTATTGTTAATGTGAACCATTAATAATGTGGTGACTTTATAAACAATGTGAATCATTACTAATGTGATAACTTTATAAACAATGTGAATTATTACTAATGTGATAACTTTATAAACAATGTGATACCTTTATAAACAATGTGAACCATTAATAATGTGATAACTTTATAAACAATGGGAACCATTAATAATGTGATGACTTTATAAACAATGTGATAACTTTATAAACAATGTGAACCATTAATAATGTGATGACTTTATAAACAATGTGATAACTTTATAAACAATGAGAATTATGCTGATGACGTCATTTATAGTTTACATTTTATACATGATAGCTCATATATAATGACACCAGTACAGAGTTTTGTGTTATTAGGAATTATGTTTATATTATTGCTCTGTTATAATAATACTGAAGACACATAACTCATTACTTGTACTTTATAAAAGATAAATAAGTATTTATAGGTGAGGTGAAGTATTGGTCTGGTAAACGAATGCCTTTTGATCATAAGGTAAACAAGGTGCAGTAACACTCACTGATCCTTATGTTTCAAACTTGACACCAACAGCTCTCTTGTTGTTGTCGAACACAATCTGAAAACAATAAATTTTGTTCATAATATTGAATAATACATTATATACAGAGATAGTGATAAAATAGATTAAGCGAGATAGCAGTGACTAGTAACGATGTTATTAAGCAAATAGACAAACTAAGCCTAATAAGTCAACAGGTCCCGATGAAATATTTGCCAGAATATTAAAGGAATGTAAGGAAAGGAGCAGTATGTCCTCAGCATACCTAGGCGCATGTTATACCGGTTATCAAGAGGAGATAGATCACTATCCTCTAACTACCTCACTTAGATTAAGCGGTTCAGTTCTGGTCACCGTACTACAGAATGGATATAGAATCCCCAGAAAGAATTCAGAGGAGAATAACAAGACTGATCCCGGGCATTAGGAACCTTGAGTACAGAGACAGGTTAAAGCATCTTATTTGCACTCCTCAGAGACGTAGAGTGAGGGGCGATATGATAGAGGTGTATAAATGGAAGTCACGGCTGAACAAAGGGGACATTACAAAGGTACTCAAACTATCCAACCAGAACGAACTCGCAGAATGGTTTTAAAATAGACAAATTTAGATTTGAAGATAGGTAAACATTGGTTTGGAAATAGAGTAGTGGATGAATGGAACAAGTTACCAAACATCATCATTAACTCTCATACGCTGGATAGCTTCAAACATAGGTTGGATGGATATATGAGCGATGGGGGTTGGGTGTAAATGGGACTGCCCAGTATGGACCAATAGGCCCGCTGCAGTTTCCTCCATTCTTATGTTCCTATAAGATACATAGTAAATAAAACATTATACTGTAATACATCTATACATAATAACTAAAACAGTATTACTGGAGGCTTCAACAACTCACCTGGAGGTCGGTGATACTGGAGGCTTCAACAACTCACCTGGAGGTCGGTGATACTCGAGGTTCAACAACTCACCTGGAGGTCGGTGATACTGAGGCTTCAACAACTCACCTGGAGGTCGGTGATACTGAGGCTCAACTCACCTGGAGGTCGGTGATACTGGAGGTTCAACAACTCACCTGGAGGTCGATACTGAGGCTTCAACAACTCACCTGTAGGACGGTGATACTGGAGGCCTCAACAACTCACCTGGAGGTGGTGATACTCGAGTTCAACAACTCACCTGGAGGTCAGGATACTGGAGGCTTAACAACTCACCTGGAGGTCGGTGATACTGGAGGCTTCAACAACTCACCTGGAGGTCGGTGATACTGAGGTTCAACAACTCACCTGGAGGTCGGTGATACTGGAGGCTCAACAACTCACCTGGAGGTCGGTGATACTGGAGGCTTCAACAACTCACCTGGGGGTGGTGATACTGGAGGCTTCAACAACTCACCTGGAGGTCGGTGATACTGGAGGCTTCAACAACTCACCTGGAGGTCGGTGATACTGAGGCTTCAACAACTCACCTGGAGGTCGGTATACTGGAGGCTTCAACACCTGGAGGTCGGTGATACTGAGGCTTCAACAACTCACCTGCAGGTCGGTGATACTGAGGCCTCAACAACTCACCTGGAGGTCGGTGATACTGGAGGCTTCAACAACTCACCTGGAGGTCGGTGATACTGGAGGCTTAAACAACTCACCTGGAGGTCGGTGATACCGGAGGCTTCAACAACTCACCTGCAGGACGGTGATACTGGAGGTTTCAACAACTCACCTGGAGGTCGGTGATGAGGTTCAACAACTCACCTGGAGGTCGGTGATACTGGAGGCTTCAACAACTCACCTGGAGGTCAGTGGATGCTGGAGGCTTCAACAACTCACCTGCAGGAGGATACTGAGGCTCAACAACTCACCTGGAGGTCGGTGATACTGGAGGCCTCCAACTCACCTGGAGGTCGGTGATACTGAGGCTTCAACAACTCACCTGGAGGTCGGTGATACTGGAGGCTTCAACAACTCACCTGCAGGTAGGTGATACTGGAGGCTCCAACCACCTGGAGGTCGGTGATACTGAGGCTTCAACAACTCACCTGGAGGTCGAGTGATACTGGAGGCTTCAACAACTCACCTGTAGGGACGGTGGTGCTGTGGAGGATGTGGAGGTTAGGGTCTGAGGAGGCCGGCAGTAAATCTGGAGTCGATGATCTGACTCCGTCCTTAATAGATAACGTTGCTGGTGAAAACCTGAGAGAGAGAGAGAGAGAGAGAGAGACTTTGTTAGTGACGATAATAAAACAATTCACGATATTGTTAATGTTTGTTCTGGCGCCTCGTGAAGAACTGACTTTGTTATAATGTTCAATGTTTTGTGTTTGAGTGTAGTGCTGACAGTAGTGTTGTTGACAGTGTGTAGTGTTGAGTGCTGACAATGTGGTGCTCAGTGCTGACACTGTGTAGTGTTGAGTGCTGACAATGTAGTGTTGAGTGCTGACACTGTAGTGTTGAGTGCTGACAGTGTGTAGTGTTGAGTGCTGACAGTGTAGTGTTGAGTGCTGACAGTGTAGTGTTGAGTGCTGACAGTGTGTAGTGTTGAGTGCTGACAGTGTGTGAGTGTTGAGTGCTGACAGTGTGTAGTGTTGAGTGCTGACAGTATGTATTGTTGAGTGCTGACATTGTGTAGTGCTGACAGTGTGTAGTGCTGAGTGCTGACAGTCTGTAGTTTTGAGTGCTGACAGTGTGTAGTGTGTGTAGTGGTGCGTGTGTAGAGTTGAGTGCTGACAATGTGTAGTGTTGAGTGCTGACAGTGTGTAGTGTTGGGTGCTGACTGTGTTTAATGTTGAGTGCTGACAGTGTGTAGTGCTGATTGCTGACAGTGTGTAGTGTTGAGTGCTGACAGTGTGTAGTGTTGAGTGCTGACAGTGTGGAGTGTTGGAGTGACATGTAGTGCTGACAGTGTGTAGTGCTGACGGTGTGTAGTGGACAGTTTGTAGTGGAGTGCTGGCAGTGTGGAGTGCTGACAGTGTGTAGTGTAGAGTGCTGACAGTGTGTAGTGCTGACAGTGTGTAGTGCTGACAGTGTGGAGTGCTGACATGTGGGAGTGCTGACAGTGTGTAGGTAAAAGTATTTAGTGTAACAACAAATTAGTTATCTTGTGTTATATATCAACAAACAAACTCCTTTATTTACCGTCATAAATTCGTCTTCATTTCTATAATTGTTTAATAACGATAACTATTTTCTCCTCTTGTTCAGGATCATAATATGTTTTGCATAACCAAACTTTACCAAATACATAATTGTGTTTTTTGCACCACTAATATTTAGTAAAGTAAATACAAACGTGTTTAAGTTGTATTGTTTGGTAAGTTAATAGTTTCTTATTATGAAGGAGGCGATGTTACCGAGTTGTTCTGGCCCGTTGTAGTCGATGACGGAGTAGCCCAGGTCAAGGCCGCTCTGTATGAAGGCCCGGAGAAGGGCTGCGGTGGTGCCTGGGTGACGCCGGGCCCACCTCGTCCGTGGTAAGCCTCTGTCTCGTAAACATATAAGGTTACCTAATTACTGGTGTTGTAACAGTGAAAGGTCATGGAGCGGTTAGCCTCGTCTGCTCCATAATGCCGTCTTATTATTCCACAATTTCTTAAAATAATTGTATCTCATCCAATTTTATAACTCAACATACCGTATGTGTTAAGTGACGTCAAGCAGCCACATATACACTGCTTATAGCACATGACAACAAAGAAAGTTAGGTGATCAAACTTACAAAAAAGTGACATCTTTTTTACTAAAATTTAACTCAGAATATTCGCTATTTATTGTCCTCAGGTGACACTATCTGAGAGTTGCTGTATCACTACAGTTGTAAGTCACTACAGTTGTAAGTCACTACAGTTGTAAGTTACAACAGTTGTAAGTCACTACAGTTGTAAGTCACTACAGTTGTAAGTTACGACAGTTGTAAGTCACGACAGTTGCTGTATCACTACAGTTGTAGGTCACGACAGTGTTAAGTCACGACAGTTGTAAGTCACGACAGTTGTAAGTCACGACAGTTGTGAGCCACTACAGTTGTGAGTTGTGACAGTTGTAAGTCATAACAAGGTTAACATGTTAACAATGTGTCAATCTTTGGCTCACATAATGTTAAAATCCTTTAGTTTTGAAAAAAAAAAAAATGCGTCATTAAAACATATAAAATAAATATACTGTAAATGAATGTCGATAACATTGGGACACATTAATTACTTAATAAAGATCAAACAAGAAAATTATCTGTTAAAGACTTTTGTATATTCACATACTGACACTCGTGCCGGTTGTTGTCACCACCGCCGAGGTCTTGTGTGTAACCTGAAAACATTATAAATATGAGTAATAGGCGAAGGTACTTGAGGTCACCTGTATGGGTGGGGAGACGCGGTAGTCCTCGGCCTTGATGAAGTAGGGAAGAACAGAGGTAGTCCCAGCCGGGGTTCCCCAAGGCCGCCCACTGGTCAAAGTCCCGCCTGTTACCTCTAGTGTGCATCATACCATTGACTGTGGAGCCGCCACCCAGTACCCGCCCTTGGGGCTGTTTGGCCGTCTACAGTATGCAAATGACGTCACATTATTATTTAATATTGACTTACATTTTAACAAGTTTTGGGTTAGCATCTGAATAATTTTTATGCAACGTTTCTATTTACGTGTCTCGGGAAAACAGACCTGAGGCCTGCTGGGAAGACATGAGTAAACGTCAGTTTGTTGCCACATTGTTGAGCGTTTTTCATTTCTGACACGACTTAAGAAATACTATTTTTAGTCTGGTGAAGGTTGACCCTGACATAAGATGTCTTCAGTACTAATGTCAAAATAAATCACTTTTGCCTCTGGTAAAACTACGTAACACTTAAATATATATTACTCACTACTACGGACAAGTTAGGGAGGCAGAGTGTAGTAATAATATTCTGGTGATTGTCAAGGTGAACTACAGCAGTCCTCAAGCCACATGTGAATTGTTGTCAGTCAAAAAGAAAATAATTCTATATTCTTTAAGTGATCTTATCATGTGTGTGGGAGTGTCACGTCACACCGAGACTCACGTGAGTCAGATGGAAACAGTTCTCCCAAAATACAAGTTCCTGTGAAATCGAACAGTCCAAAATACTCGAAGAATATAAATTTGCGACGGTACCTTAATAGAATGAATTATTTGTGTTTTGTTTTATGTTTTATCTATCTCCCTGTTTAGTGGGGGTAAAGCCTGGCCTTAGCTCAGAATGCATTGCGGTAAACAAAAGATGACATTGTTGTGGAGTAGGTTTATTCCCTACCTAGACCAGTCATCAATGCATTTTTACTACTACATTAATAAATGTCCTTTATTTTTCAAGATTGTTATTTAAGTTACACCATACATTATAAGGTACATCTATAATACACTTTTCTTCTAATGTTCATCCAAGTGTTATAACATAATATTTCAGGATATCATAAACAGGGGTGGAAATGTTTCTCATAGGGCTATAACCCCCTGTACAGTACTGGGTGCACTGACACATCGTCTCTGTACTCCAGGTCAAGGAGGTCACTTATGACTCACCTGGTTGACGAGATTCTTGGAGCTGTACCTCTGAGGGACGGTACTGTACCCCCAGTTCTCTCTGTAACCCGGACTGAAGCTGATGGGTTGGAAGCCCGGGACGTAAGTCTCCAGGGGTGGCGGTCCTCCAGCCTCCAGCAGCAACACGCGCCATCCTGCCACCTCTGACAACCTTCCTGCCAACACGCATCCTGCAGTGCCTCCACCCACTGTGTGGAGATATATTGTGTCACCTCCTCCATAATATACTCTACTTCCTCCTAATATTTCCTTACAGAAATATTATCCCATTACAGTCCAACAATTACAGTCTACTGTTTATCAATAATGGATCGGTGTTCTCAGGCAAGACCTAGGGGTACTTGTAAGCCCGGACCTACGGCCTAGAAAACCGTGCGTTAATGTTCGAAATAAGGCAAACAGAGTATTGGGTTTTATATCTAGAAGTGTAAGTAACAAGAGTGCAGAGGTCTTATTGCAACTATATCTTGCGCTAGTCAGGCCGCACCTCGATTATGCGGTTCAGTTCTGGTGCCCCTATTATAGAATGGATATAAATTCACTAGAGTCGGTGCAGCGAAGAATGACAAAAATGATTCCGGGACTTAGAAACCTTCCATATCGGGATAGGTTAAAGAAACTTAACTTGCATTCCTAGAAAGACGAAGAGTGCGAGGAGATATGATAGAAGTATTTAAGTGGGTGAAAGGAATCAATAAAGGAATATAGATAAAGTTCTTATAATATCCGAGCAGGATAGGACTCGTAACAACGGATTCAAGTTGGATAAGTTTAGGTTTAGGAGGGAGATAGGAAGAAACTGGTTCACAAATAGGGTGGTGGACGAGTGGAACAAGCTTAGCAACTTTGTAGTAAGTGCGGGAACTCTGGAAAGTTTCAAAAGGAGGCTAGATAGATTCATGGATGATAGAGAGTGGTAGTAACTTACGAGCTGCCATGCACAGGCCAACCGGCCTTGTGCAGACTCCTTATTTTCTTATGTTCTTATGTAACACTGGTAGCTTCATAAATCCGACCCTGTGAGGCGTCTCACCTGGCTGCCCTTCAAAGGTGTGTAGTAGTGCCCTGTTGTCTACCACACGGGCAATAGCTACTAGCATTAAGGAACAATTATCAACGTGTATTAACGCAGAATTAATAAAATTATCTGGAGAAGTGACTGACCAATTAGAAGCTGTAGTTCACCAGGTGATACCTCTTGTACCCCAGGCCCCCACCACCATGGTCTCCCGTAGTGACGTACAGTACTTACCAATAATAAAGTCATAGGAGGGAGTGAGGGGGCCGCTCAGTTCAAAGTTTCCTGGCCAGCTTCATTTATGACGTTGATCAGCAGGAGCCGCAACACGGGCAGAACGGCTGCGGTCGTCACCCCCAGGAACGTGTCTCGTATGAAGCTCAAGGACATTTGAACCTTTGTGAAAACTGAGAAAATAAAATGTTGATAGTTTTTGTGAACAACCGCAGGTCCTGAACTGGCTGCTGTTGGGTCAGGAACCGCAGGTTATATCACCGACCACCACTGCCCAGACACAAAACTAAACCAGCATGGATGGTCGCCAGTCGACCACTGCCCAGAACACAAAACTAAACCAGCATGGAAGGTCGCCAGTCGACCACTGCCCAGACACAAAACTAAACCAGCATGGAAGGTCGCCAGTCGACCACTGCCCAGACACAAAACTAAACCAGCATGGAAGGTCGCCAGTCGACCACTGCCCAGACACAAAACTAAACCAGCATGGAAGGTCGTCCCGACTATAATGTGGATGGCGGACCAGAGGACTGTGCGCTCACGAGGTGAAAGTGAGCACAAGGTTGCTCATGGTGTCATACATTACGTGACATGTCTATTATCTGTCTAAAATAACTACCACTATACCGTGTTATTGTGTTATCATAACTACCACTATACCGTGTTATTGTGTTAACATAACTACCACTATACCGTGTTATTGTGTTATCATAACTACCACTATACCGTGTTATTGTGTTATCATAACTACCACTATACCGTGTTATTGTGTTATCATAACTACCACTATATACCGTGTTATTGTGTTATCATAACTACCACTATTCCGTGTTATTGTGTTAACATAACTACCACTATCGTGTTATTGTGTTACATAACTACCACTATACCGTGTTATTGTGTTATCATAATTACCACTATTCCGTGTTATTGTGTTAACATAACTACCACTGTACCGTGTTATTGTGTTATCATATCTACCACTGTACCGTGTTATTGTGTTATCATATCTACCACTATACCGTGTTATTATATCTACCACTATACCGTGTTATTGTGTTATCATAACTACCACTATACCGTGTTATTGTGTTATCATAACTACCACTATACCGTGTTATTGTGTTAACATAACTACCACTATACCGTGTTATTGGTTATCATAACTACCACTATACCGTGTTATTGTGTTATCATATCTACCACTATACCGTGTTATTGTGTTAACATAACTACCACTATACCGTGTGTGTTAACATAACTACCACTATACCGTGTTATTGTGTTATCATAACTACCACTATACCGGTTATTGTGTTATCATAACTACCACTATTCCGTGTTATTGTGTTAACATAACTACCACTATACCGTGTTATTGTGTTAACATAACTACCACTATACCGTGTTATTGTGTTAACATAACTACCACTATACCGTGTTATTGTGTTAACATAACTACCACTATACCGTGTTATTGTGTTATCATAACTACCACTATACCGTGTTATTGTGTTATCATAACTACCACTGTACCGTGTTATTGTGTTATCATATCTACCACTATACCGTGTTATTGTGTTATCATATCTACCACTATACCGTGTTATTGTGTTATCATATCTACCACTGTACCGTGTTATTGTGTTATCATAACTACCACTGTACCGTGTTATTGTGTTATCATAACTACCACTGTACCGTGTTATTGTGTTATCATATCTACCACTATACCGTGTTATTGTGTTATCATATCTACCACTATACCGTGTTATTGTGTTATCATATCTACCACTATACCGTGTTATTGTGTTAAAATAACTACCACTATACCGTGTTATTGTGTTATCATAACTACCACTATACCGTGTTATTGTGTTAACATAACTACCACTATACCGTGTTATTGTGTTATCATATCTACCACTATACCGTGTTATTGTGTTATCATATCTACCACTGTACCGTGTTATTGTGTTATCATATCTACCACTATACCGTGTTATTGTGTTATCATATCTACCACTATACCGTGTTATTGTGTTATCATATCTACCACTGTACCGTGTTATTGTGTTATCATAACTACCACTGTACCGTGTTATTGTGTTATCATAACTACCACTGTACCGTGTTATTGTGTTATCATATCTACCACTATACCGTGTTATTGTGTTATCATATCTACCACTATACCGTGTTATTGTGTTATCATATCTACCATCGTACTGCAAGTTATTGTAAGTTATTTTTGTTTATACTGTGTTATTGTGTTATCATAACTACCACTATATCGTGTTACGTGTTATCATAACTACCACTATACCGTGTTATTGTGTTATCATATCTACCACTGTACCGTGTTATTGTGTTATCATAACTACACTATACGTGTTATTGTGTTATCATAACTACCACTATACCGTGTTATTGTGTTATCATATCTACCACTATACCGTGTTATTGTGTTATCATATCTACCACTATACCGTGTTATTGTGTTATCATATCTACCACTATACCGTGTTATTGTGTTATCATAACTACCACTATACCGTGTTATTGTGTTATCATAACTAATGAATACTAATTGGCCAGCTTGTCAAAATGACGGGACGCACTTGATGAAAGTACCAAACTTTGTGAGACTTCTTTTAACTCCAGTGATAAACTTTCTGTTGGGATCCATCAAAGTTGAGCTGTTGGATGATATCACGGGACATCGTCAATTTTGGGGGTTTGTGTGTTAAGAAAAAACGGACAAAGTAGGTACAATATATTTATAAGAACTTGGTGGAATGTGAGAACATTCTCCTGAACAATGAGTTAATTTTATATGCTTTATATGCATTCCTAATATACCTCAGTATATACAATAATTTGGTTGGTGAGTTATTCAGATTTAATAGTCCAGTGTGCTTTCTTCCAAGAACACTTGCTACTGCAGGCACTTTTGCTCTTGCAGCCACATCTGACCAACTCGCTACAAGCTTTGAAAACCATTGGTAATTCCACTGTTGTTGTGACAGGTCACAGATGGCCCAGCTTCCCGCCTTGTAAGCAATTCACTTAGAGTCCTCTAGTAGAGCGCCCTGGGTTGGTGGAATGGATGCAATAGTTTTGTTTCTCTGAAAGAGTATTTCTCTGCGTGCCTCACTGACAGAACCAAGGTGGCAGGTCATGTTCTACAGGACGACTGTATGACGCTCAAGCAGTTTGAATGTTCAGTATCGACATTCAACTCGGTGTGTGAATTCTTCATCATGAAGTTGAAAGTCTCTGACTCCATGGTAAGACTTTCAAGCCTCTCATGCTGATCTATTCCCCTTTCTAGATAACACTGTATCACAGTCTGAGAAACTGTGGAAGTCGGGTAGGACTTTGGACTTGCCTTCTCTCAGAGCCTGGGCAATGGAATTAATGCGGATGTAACAAGTTCTTCCCTGTACCAAACGCCACTCATATGTTTGCTTCTGAGTATATGGTGTGCAGGTGATGGAACTTGCTAATCAACTTGACAATGACATCGGTATCAGTTGTGAGAACCTCGCAAATGGCAGAGCCAGTTATAAAGCGTCCTGCAGATGAAACTGCATTCTTGTGCCTATTTCTTCAAGGTTAAAGTCCGGCATAGAGTGATTGGTTCCTCTGACCACAACAGCTTATTCTGAAGCGATGACAATCTCCTTGTTAGAGAGGGATTCACTGCTTCCAGTCTTATCGGACAGTAATTTCAATAGCTTCAGCCTGTTATCTGGGTCACGCAGGAAGTCATGCCACTTTCCTGAAGTCTTGTTGTGACTGACAACCTTTCTTCTTGCACCTTCCCCTCTTGCCTCTTGTAGACTCTCTTATACAAAATCCATTTTCTCGGCTTCCTTCAACTGCTGTATAATGTAGGGCAGAAACACGTCTTTGGCATTATCTCCAAATGTTTTGATGCCACTTGTGGAAAGGTGCAACACAGCAACACCATCACGGACTCTCCCGTCAAAGGAGCTTGGTGGCTCTAACTCAGCTGTTTGTTCCAGACAAGTCAGTAGGTCAGGCGCAACATTCAGGTTAATGTAACTGGGAACTTCAGTTTCATTGAAATGTTACTGTGAGGTTACCAAGTCAGCAGCTTCACCAAAAACGGGTTTAGAGTGTCTGTCAAAGTTGTTTTCACCAGACCATTTACTAGGTCAAATTCCTTGAATTCCCAGACGAATTTTCCTCTGTCAGAGATTGATGGTCGCGCTGTGCTGTGCTGTGCTGTGCTGTAGAGTCGAGACAAAAGTTTCAGTCAGTTTAAAAACTTACGATCTTATCCGCTTGTTTGGTTTTGTTTGGGTACAGTACACCTGGAATAATAACTTGTGGTAGTCAGTGTACCGACCCTTGCTGAGTGCTTCCACATGTGGGGAATGTTCACCACACGCTCGTTGAGAACATCACGAGTGTCTACTGTTAGTGCCTCAGGACCACCATAAAGGAAAACATTGTCCAAATCAGCCTTGCTTGTTGTTCATCACCACCACTTGTTCATTACCACCACTTGTTCATCACCACCACTTGTTCATTACCACCACATGTTCATTACCACCACTTGTTCATTACCACCACATGTTCATTACCACCACTTGTTCATTACCACCACTTGTTCATTACCACCACTTGTTCATTACCACCACTTGTTCATTACCACCACTTGTTCATCACCACCACTTGTTCATCACCACCACTTGTTCATCACCACCAATTGTTCATTACCACCACTTGTTCATTACCACCACTTGTTCATCACCACCACTTGTTCATTACCACCACATGTTCATTACCACCACTTGTTCTTCACCACCACTT